TATAATAATAATAATAATAATAATAATAATAATAATAATACGTTATAATGATAGTATATGACAACAGTTCATCCATCATGACATGATGATGACCTTTAGTAAATTATAAGTTTATGGAATATTTGAGGCCACTGGGGCACATCACAACATACAAAACACTCAGTAGTTGGATAAAATTTCTCTAATGAAAAAATAGGCTACAAGTTGTGCACATCATGGGTCAAACTTTACATATTTTACATTCTATCACTAGGCCAAGTCAGGCTAAGAGGAATTAATAATTTCCTTGGATGGACAAAATAAATCAAATGAGGTAGTGCTTGATGAAGCCCACGTGGGACGCTCGATGTTAAAAACAATCAAGAAACGACAAATGCAGTTTTTGGGACACCTGAATAGACATAAGGGTCTTGAACATCTAGCTCTCACTGGCAAAATTGAGGGCAAGCGAGGCAGGGGTAGGCCCAGAACAACATATTTAGGGAAACTAAACAAATGGGTAACTGGGAAAGATCAGGGAAACGTAGCTTTTTTGAGAGCATCCGAGCAAAGGAATGAATGGAAAACCATGATCGCCCATGTCTATCTCGGTAACTATGGCCTTTTTAGATAAAGCCTTATAGTTATAGCAAGGAGGTACAAACAGGAAAACATATGTAAAATGTAACTTTATTTTTTGTTTTGTTTAAGTCTACGGTTGCCATGGTAACGGCCACCATATTGAAAATAAAGAGCTTTCATAAAAATAAAAAAAGATTCTTTGTTTACCAACCAAATTTTTTCGAATTCGGTACATTGATATATATACTCAATACAAAATTTCGTAAAGTTGGGATCTTGGACATCTTGAATAGGAAAAAGTTAGTAGAGATGGATAACTGACCTACCCCTCATTCATCTGAATTCGATTACATATTCATCCATGTAACTCACTCGTGAATTGATCGATTTTATCTGCCACCTGTATAAAGTTAGATTATGGTATGAATAACAAGCCCTGAAAATTTCATTGGAATAAAAAAAAAAAAAAAAAGTAGATTAGAAAAAAACATCAACAATTGACGTTTTGCGAAATGAAAGTTTTTGGACAGAAAATCTGAAAGATGATGAGTGTAACACAAAGAGTAAGCACTTTATTTTTAGATTTACAAATGATTGGAGTATTATAATATGTAAAAAGTGCGGATACCATTAACTGACCAAAAATCGTCACTTTATAACCACAGTCCCCCCTCCCCCCCCCAAGCAGAAGAACCTTTGCGAATCATGTATTTTGGCCTCTGTGTGGGTGGTTCACAGGTGCTGAGCTGTGCTCCTTCTTTCTTACCAAACATTTATCGTCCCATTCTCTCCCCCTTCTTTTCTCTGTACGTTGCTCTCTATTAAAACCTTTAATCTTCGGCATTTAATACATGTATGATACGACCTATTTATGTTGCATGTGCCGTAAAACTCTTACTAGAATTATTATTACATATTTCTTTAAAAATCATTCATTTATTATTTCACAGAATCACCAGCTTCATCACTGCGTTCATTACCTTTGAGAGATGTCTCTGTATCGCTCTACCGCTCAAAGTCAAAATGATAATGACCCCGCGGAGAACGAAAATCATCATTATCTTCATCTTTGCTCTCATGTTCAGCGTTTTCGCTCCTTTCTACTACGTCAATCGCCTGGTGTGGGCTTTTGACGAAGCTCGGAACGCCACCATTCTGAAGATTCAGTACACGAAGGAAAAGGAAATCGTGGAGACGGTAACATTTTTCATACACAGCGTGACCTTTTCGATATTTTCCTTCGTCTTCGTCATCTTATGCACCGTCGTTCTCATCGTCAAACTCAACAGTAAAACAAAATGGCGGAAAGCCACGGCTGCTAAGGGAGCTAATACAGCGGAAGGAGTAGGGGTCAAGGACAAAATGGTCGTCAAAATGGTGACCTTTATTTCTAGTATCTTCATCATCTGCTTCGTGCCCGGCACGTTAATATTTCTCTTTATGGCTTTAGAACCAGAATTCAGTCACGGCGGTAGATATAAAAATATCTACTTTGTGGTTTGGTCCTTCTCTTTTGTAATGGAAACTGTCAACTCCAGTGTCAACATTTTCGTGTATCTGAAAATGAGTTCAAAATACAGAGCAGTCTTCATGAAAACATTTCTCAGAAAAGAAGAAAAATAGTGAAATCCAGACCTGTGGTTGGTGATTCCACTGCGAAAGGATAATACGTTTTCATAGTGTTTTAATGAGGGAAAAGTCTCAGAAGATTTAACAAGTCGCTGCCTTAGTATTACAGAGTTTTCTCTGACATTTTTGGCCGTTTTAAGTTACCAAGACCATACGGACAGAAACCAAAATTTATGATCAATTCAAAATCAAAAGATTATTCATAGTTATTAGATATTCACAGAATTACGTTCGAAAAGGTTGACATGTTTTGAAACTCAATTTTGTTGTTGTTGTCAAATGACTCAAAACTAAATACCCAGCATATTATAGAACTGTGTAATTCTATGGTAGCAAAAAAAGCTCATGTATCTGTGAAGAGGAGCAATTTCCATAGGCTTGTCGTTGAATCAATTGTCTTTAAAATATGTTCATCATTTCATTTATTAATAAAGTAATTTAAATTGGAACTTTCACTTTTTTGTTCCCAATTTTTGCGTTCTTGATTTGGACAAAGGTTCTGTATCATGTCTTGCTGTTTCTACTTGACTGTTTTTGAATGTGACTATTTTACGTTGTTCTCGACAAAATTTAGATTAATTTAGGAGGCTGGCAACTTCTTTTTTTCCCATCAGGGCCAATAATAGGGATACAGCGTCCTCGCAAATAATGATAGGCATTTGATAATGAGATCCTTCCACCAGCTGGATTTGAACTCGCAACTTCTGTGTGTGACGGCAAACAAGCCAGGCCATTTCAAGACAGATTCAGATAAGAAATAAGATTTAATCTGCCTTCATTGGAGGAAAATATCAGGGTGCAAGGGAAAACTACTGTTTCAACCAAGCACTTCCTATAATGGTATATTTTAGCACATAATCGTACTTCTAACCTATGTAAAATATAAATACCGACATTGTACGCGTTCACAAAAATTCTGACGAGTAAAAATAATTATTGAGAGAGCACCTTAACCACATGACGAAAAATCTCCTAACTACTGACTCAGACAAATATGATGCCCGACCTTTATTCAGGGCGTATTATAATGTTCTGCTATTATAAGAGGGGGGGGGGGCGAAAATGTATCCCCTTCCCCACCCCTCCCCCCTTAAAATTGACATGCATGGGTCGGATCGTGAAAAACTAGGGCAAAAGTTGGGACGACAAGATTGGAAAATAAGTGATGGTACAGTGTTTTGTTTTGTTTTTTTTTTTTTTTTAAAAAGTGTTTTACGACGCTCACAACTGCATAGGATCATAATATGAGCACGTGTGACAAGTTAAAGATTTTCAGTTGGTAGGATAAAAGTAAGGAAATTTTGAATTTTGGCCCGGTGGAGGCCGCAGCCTACTGTTATCGATTTTGGACCACCAAGGGATTTTTAACGTGGGCCACTTGCACACGGGACCTCCAAGATTTTACGCAGTTATCCAAGAAGGCTAGGTGTAAATCTCACCTACCATAGATCAGGGTTGTGGCTGAAACACAGTAGTAAGAAAGAGCCAATGAGTAGCAGTAGAAAGGCTGCAGAAAGAGTCAGGAGCCCAGAGGAGGGGTCAAAGGAGTTGAGGTGATGGGAGCAAAAAGTGGAGACGAAATCAGACGATAGAACATTGTTAGAGAGCAGGAAAGGATGTGAAAGGAGAAAATATTAGATACGGTATGAAAATGTTCAGTCGCAATCCGGATTCGAACCCGGGACCTTTAAGTGAAAGGCGTACACCCTAACCTCTAGACCACGAGAGCCCCCCTATTATGGCACAAAAACACGTGACATTGCAATACGTGTCAACGTGACAATGTCAGCTTTAATTGTTGCATCATTCTATTTTGTCTATTATTATTACTAATAATTATTTCTGAAACAAGGATAGTTGCGATACAGTAAACATTTTACGGCATTTGCAAGACAAAAAAGGCCATATTATTATCATTTAAGCCCAAGATTAGAGGTGTTACTGGAGAGATAAGAACGATTGAGATGTTTGATAGGAGAAGCTCCCCTTCTTCCCCATCACATCACACTGAAGTCCGGCATCTCTCCTTATTCTTATCATCCATCTCAAAATGTTGCCCTTTCTAGTCATCCTATTTAGGTCAGTGTCAGTTTGGAATATATTGTATCTTTTGTTTAAAAGACTGACATATTATTTTCAAAATCAGTTATGCACAGACTTGATGGTCCTGGTTAAGGTATTATAAATGACGTTGAGGTTTTAGTACGTCATTTGTGCAGTCAAGTGCACTTTTGATGTGAGTTCAGGGAAAATTCTTACACTTTTGGGTATCATGACTCTCCATATTACATTATATTGGCGCGGGCATACTTTTGTCATACATTATAGAGGTACAAAGTTGATATTTTTACAAACTACACAAAATATAGGGTATATTAAGTACTCTCACACTGCAAGAGGATAGTTTATTATACTATCCCGGATCGTGGCTCATGACTCGTAATTTCCCACCGAATCGCTCAATCTGAGACACTTGGAACGTAACAACATCATATGAACAACACCGCATCAATAAAACACGTCTATTACAAGTTGCAGCTACGCCTTTTTTTTTTTAATAAGGCCAATTTTCGGAGGAAAATAATATATATCAACAGCCTCTGAAATCTCGCAGCACTAAAACCCAATACCCTTAGAATTCAGGTTGAAAAAACGAAAGAAAACAACAACAAACAAAAACAAACAAGCAAACAAAAAAACAACAACGAAAGAAAAACAAACGAACAGACGAACAAGCAAACAAATAAACAAACAAAGACGAATTAAAAACCAAAACAAAAAAACAAACAAAAACACCCCCCCCCCCCATGTCTTATTGTCATAATTACTTTTTAACTATTACATAACAGGTAAGTGACGTAATGTTCTTTATCTAAATCTACCTCTGCGCTATAATAGCAAAGACTCAGTTGACAATACCACAATGCAGAATTGAAATGATGAGAAAGTAAGAACTATATATTCCCAATATTATTTCTAAAATTTATGTAATAATATATACATATTATTCACAAAGTTGCAGCACTTTTTGTGTAGTAAGATAAGCATGATAATCGTTACCAGGCAGCCATAAACTATTGAAAAAATCATTTCTTTCTATTTAAACCTCCAACAAACCAATCAAAGTGCCCTCCTTAATAGAAGAAAAAAAAATCTAGCATCTGTGTATAAAATGCTAATCATAATTATTTTGAACGGATTGGGTTATTTTCGGTATTTATTCGGAAGTAAACTGTCGCCTTCTTGTCTACCTACGACACAGATTACCCAGCCAAAGAGAGAACTTAAAAAGCACAACTTAAAACACCACATTTCCTTACTCAAAGTTGATTAGAAAGCGGTGGCGGAGTGTAGTGAAGGGCTCACGGGCTTGAACCCCCCTCCCCATCCCCCAAATCTATCCCAAAGCAAATGAAAATAACGAAATAAGCGGTTGAAACTGTTATGGTCGCACTCAAGGAACACAGAGAGATCAACTTGGCGGCTTGCTCGTTTATCCAATCACAGTATTCACCGCTTACAACTATTTATAGTAGCATAAAAGCCAATCAAATGTCTAAAGGCACTTAAGAGCTCAGCAAGGGACGAACCTGTTCCCACGACCCCTCCTTAATGAAACCCCTCTTGTAAAAAGGTAGAAGACTAGAAAAAAATAACTCTGCACTGAGGGCTCACGCTCTCCTAGCCCTTACAAAGGGGTGAAAGTTTACGAAACACTTTCCCCCAGTGACACAGTTACCTGCACACCCATTGGACCTTTGTTAGATGAGTTCTCTTTCCGCGACTACACGGCCCAATCCAGCTCATGGACGGTATACGCTTGGAGTGCTGTGTGTGCATGTTTGTGTGTGTGCCGCTGAGATTTAACAGTTATCAATTTCATCAAACCACTTTTGAGGCAATTTTTCATCAGAAGAAAATTAATTAGAGAAATTTTGAGTTGAAACGGCTTCGTTCCCATCATGCAGAAGAATTTCTCGTGGAACAAAGAGATGGAAGACAAGGGTGACTCTTCTCGCTTGAATGGTTCCCAAAATACCGAGGCTCACCGTGAGTATAGACAACATCACTGTTTTGTTTATATTGCTTGCTATTTCTTGGTAAACCAGTGGAAGCAAACTAAGCCCCATCCAAATTTTGGTCCACCCACCGTCTCTGACACACACACACACACACACACACACACACACACACACACACACACACACAAACACACACACACACACACACATTATCTCTGTGTGTTTGTGTGTATCATTTTTATAGATCTTCCCCGTCATTCATCATTGTCGTATGTCAAAATACGAGGTTTTCAGGAGAAGCAAATTTGATACCTGTTAAATTTTATGCAGTACATAAATACCAAATGTGCAATTTGTCGAAATCTGTTACTATTTAGGTTAAAGAAGAGGAACGAGGTAAGAGCCAATCGATGCGCAAAATCTAACCTAACAACATCCATGTACACGTACTTTATTTTATTTTTTTCGTTACTTTGACACACTACACTGTTGACTATAATTCCAGTTTTTGTCAGAGGTTTACAACGCTCGCAACTGTTTACGGTTATATATTATTATACATGTATATGAGAGCGTGAAAATAAAATTAAAGCAACAGAAATGTGGTTTCTTAGGAGACTATTGAGAACATCGTGGAAGGAAAAGAAATCAAATGTGAGGCAGCGTGGTGGAATCAGGCTCTCGTCAAAATAATCAAAGTGAAGAAGCCAGCATTTTTCCGCAGGTTTGTGAATTTTTATCAAATTTCTGTTTTTTGGCTCAACACCTTGCATGCCTATTAAAGAACTCATTGCTGTGGTGGATTGTTCATAAAAACGTTGATTGAAGGCACAAAAAATGTAAATTTTCAGTTACCACGGACTTTTAAGCTAAGTAAATAACTCATCTTTAGCGGCCATTTTCTCACTAATTTTACCTCTGAAAACAGGTGACCCCCACCTCCTTCATTCACAAATATCTCGACTTGTATTC